CGGACTGTGCAACGCAGATCCCCCATGCTATGTGTTGTGGGGTGCCTGAGGTTCGACTAGCGCCACTCTGCCTTGTTATGACTCCGCCGCTTGGAATGTGATTCAATCTCTTGAGGGAGGTGTGTGCCAACCATCTCATTTTGTTTTGTTGATAAATGCGAGGATGGCACTGTATTCCCACTGCAATGCCTTCCAACCATTCAGCAGACCCCGAAAAACATTAGTCAATATGGCAACATCCATGCTCTGGTTCACCACCACCTCGCTGTACCAAACTGGAGTGTGAAAGCTCTGAGACAGGGAGCCAGAATAACTCCAGACATTTGTGTGGTTTCGTGCGAGACATTTGCAGCTCTGTGTTTCCTTCTCCGTTATGGTTATGTAGGCTATGTTTCCCATGCCTCTTGCAGCTGTTTAATATGCCAATTCCACTGGGGGAATGCACCTTTCATTGCCTGTCGTCAGTAATCACAAGTGGATCGTCATACAGATGCATTGCCCACCGAAGCATGATGTGTGTGTGTGTGTGTCGACCTGCTACTGTTTTCAGTAAGAGAACACTACACGTTCTCTTACTCTTCACCTCCACTTTCCTTGGTGTAAATAAATGTTGGTTTTCTCTTCTGCGGGGCTGACCCTCTTCGAGAATGTGTTAGGCGGCTCCACTACGGAAGAAAGGCGTCCTTCTCCTGTATTGGTGTGTCGTTGCAGTTGTTGTGCTGCTCTTCGTTACGACTGATGATGTGGGTTTTGTGGAGGTGATCGCGGCATTCGTTGGTGCTGTGCTGGTTGGAGGTATTCTTGATGGATGCCAATGAAAAAAGGAAGGGTTCTGTACGATGGTCTCCGGGGAGTGGCTCTGAGGTGTGAGGAGGTCACAAGATTGTTTTGCTTCCTTGTGTGTGACTCTGTGGAAAAAAAAGGAAAACACATTTGGGATACAGTGTGCTCTTGATTGGTGTAGCAGTCCCATCTGGGGATATTTTAACGATGCCAGCAACAGCAGCAGCGTGCCGTTGTTTTGAAGGGAAACTATGCAAGTCCCTGCTCCCAGCTTTGGGCCTTTTTGGCGAGTTTTCTTTGGTGTTCTCCTGGTGTTCGGAGTCGCAGGGATCCAATGCTTAATTTATGGTTGCTAGGAGATTCTGCTTGATGCAAACGGACGTACATAACTTTCAGAATCATTCTTGATGTCGGCGGAAACACATGACGTTGTGTGGGGTGCAATGCCTTTGGCTGATCATTAAGATATGTGAGTGTGTGTGTTTTTATCTTTTGAATTCGTCCGGAGGGAAACAAGTCTAGTTGAGTGGGAAAGTGTGTTGGGTTATATTGCTCCTTCGACATAACCTTCACCTGCACATGGCCGTTGTGAAGGAAACGATCAAAGAGCCCATATTGCAGAAGTTGACACTGAATCAAGTTATCGGTGGGTGTTCTTTTTGGTTTGTTCCTGCATACGCTTGTGGTGCTCACCATGTGTTTGAGGAGAAAAGTTAAGGTGAAGTTTCCTATCGTGTTTGTGGGTCATTTGTGGTGACTGGCGGTAACAATACTTGGGTGGGGGTTCGAGGGGAGTGAGGAAGGAGGTGCGTGTGCGTATTCCTTGTTGAGGGATAGACCTCTTCTCCGGCAACACAATTCGAATCACCCTGCAGGCGACTGTGTGGTGGCGTGGTCCCCGCAGACGGTGCCTTAGCATGTGCTTCTGACGGGTGGCGCAGGTGACGCTGACACGCTGGCCATCTGAGGTTTTTCTTGGAGAAGTGCCACAGACATTGAGGGGATTGTTGGTGTGAGGTGTGCTGAGGCGCAGGGGAGAGTGCGAAGCCCTAATCAAGTTTGCAGCAAAAGTACTGGGAAAACAGGGTGATCTTCTTGGAGAAGCATAGATATATGCTGAGCGAAGAAGCATGAGGAAG